GAAAGGACTCTTGTTCCTACGCCGCAACATACAGACACCCCTTTCCACATCAGGCCTTCTTGAACAGCCTTGGCAACAGGGCCCACCAGTGTCATGAACAGCACCCAAAGGTGTTCCAGAACTCCATGCAAGACACCTCCTGAGCTATCCTGCTGCAGAGAGGCTATGTATATAGACAGGGTTCCTCTAAAGTGCTATTAAAATGACTTTACCAGTTAATTCTACAAAGGTTCCTATGGTAATTACAGCATGCTCATATAAAGCTTTTATTTGAAACAAATATCCACAGATGTCAAGGTTACCTTTCCAGAAGCCAGAAGCATTTTTTAAACCCTCACTATAGCCCAGGTCTCTGTCACCTTCAAACTTTTCTGTAGGTCACTGAAGTTGTTCACAACAGACACTGTCTCTTTGGGGGTACTGTGTCTTAGCCAAGGTTCAGTACTTAAGACACAGCTCAGCCTCTGCTGAATCATCATCCAGGGGAAAAACATAATTCCTGTTCCAAATGCCTTCCCTCAGACACTCAAGTTTCAGAGTAATTCATTGACAATAACATGTGAATGTCTACGTTCATATGAAGTCTTTATATGTGAAAGCAAAAATTAGGAGTTGTTTGTTTGTTTCCTAAGTCTCTGTTGAAACTGCCTGCCTTCCAAGTCAGGTAAAACCTTAAATAAACTCTTAATGATTCAGGTTTATGTAATACATTTGCCCTGAAATATGTACTTGTATTTCTATGCAAGCCATTAATTTGGGAACTGTTACAGGGTTTTAACAGCTTTTTTTATATTCCCAATAAACAAGAGCTCAAGTCGGCAGATATATTGTTTTATCAGTGCAATAGCCTTATAGCAATGACTCGTTCACTGGTCTATTGGCAGCAAGGCAAAGGGCTGGAGTCAAACATCTTGTGTGTCTGTGATACTGGCATTTATAAAGCTGAGCATCTCGGATTTTGTGGCATAAAACCCATCAACTGGGTCTGTCACTCTCCATTTAATAGATGCCAATTTTCTGGGCTGCATGTGGGTTTCCCAGACAATGAAAAGGAGTCAAGATTTCCATTTTCACCCATAGGTGCTGAGCCGTGGCTGGCTGCACCTCGGTGCAGTTTCATTTCAGTGTGTATGCTTGCAGCTGTGAATCATAGCTGGGAAAATAGGAAAGCATTCTGTGATAGTACCTATTACCAAGTTCCTTTGGCTGCTGTGATTAATTCAACGGTCACTTCCCTTTAAAGGTGGTCAGGTAACCCATAACCCACCAGTTTGCTCTCTCTGATAAAAGCTTTTCTTTTAACTTCCCATGCTTCCTCAAATCAGTCTTGCTTTCTTCATCCTTTCGGTACTGTGTATCTGGACTTAAGACTATTACATGGTCTGAAGCTTTGAACATCAGTGCTGTGATCAGCCATTAAAGCAGCACAATTTCCACTTTGTTCAAATAGTGCTTTTCTGACTTGTCTGGAGAAAGTGTCTGCCAGTTCCTTTTTTCTTATCAGAAAAACACATATATACTGTGCTCTTGTAGTTTATTATAAAACACAGAGGGGGGGAACCCCTGAACAATCAGAAGACCAGCTAGAAAACCTGTCCAGGCTCATATGCAAAACATCCACACTGTTTGCTTTCAAATGCAAAGCAAATCAACAGAGCACTGATGTTACAGGTGCCTGCCACTGGAAATTATGAGTGCTTGACAATAGTCTTCTTTAAACACAGTCTTAGGAAGCTCAGCTCCATAACAAACTTGTCACTGGCCAGTCAGTACCCCTAATCCTGTTTACATGAAGATAGTCTGGGACAGTAGTAAGAAAAATATCCTGGAAAATTCTTGGTGACACTAGAGGGGTTCAACCCTGTCCTGTCCAAAACCTTCTTACCAAATATAGCAGAGTCTTCCTATTTGTCATGAGGAGGACTGGTTGATACCCCAAGCGCATGTCTCACTAAGATTTGCATTGAAGAGCAAGATCTTTTTTTGCAATAATTTACCCTGGTCTCTTCCATATTGCCTCCTGTGTTTGTTGGAGGCTAGAGCAGAGGGAATTTGTGAAAGAAAGAAAAAATTCCATATATTTCCATGTAACCAAGAGCACATATCATCTTCAAGTTATTTTCTTCAGGATCTACTTTGCTGCCAACACACTACTTAGAAGTATCTGGCCTAGGACACCTGGAGCTTTCTTTCTGGTTCTTCCATGATTGGGGAATGTCCTTCTGTATGCTGTGAATATATGTTGGTGCATAAGTGCTGATTGACCAGTAGCCAGGCAGGAAGTATAGGCGGAGGTACCAGAACAGGAATGCTGGGAGGAGGAACAGAGAGAGAGAGTTGCCAGGGAAATGTCATGTAGTTACCAGGAAGGTAGGATGCCTGGGCATTCTCTGGTAAGCCAAGACCACATGGAGACACATAGGTTAATAAAAATGGGTTAATAATTAAGAGAGAGTTAGCGAATAAGAAGCCTGAGCCATAATCTCAACAGTTTGTAATTAATATAAGCCTCTGTGTGTTTATTTGGGACTGAAGGGCTGCAGGATCAAACTGGACAGAAACTCCATGTCACTCCCCCTTTTGAGTCCTGTGATCTTGAGCAAGTAACTTAACCTCTCCCTTCATACATACCTTAAATTAGGAAACTAGCTATTTCATCTAATTAAGTCCCAATAATTTAATACTTGCAAGGCCACGGGTCTGGTATCTAGGCCATACTTAATGTTGGCGGTAATGGTTAGCATTCTTGTTTTTACAATCCAGTTAATAGAGAACATAAAATTTTATGCAGAATTGTGTGATACAGATTATGCATATATAATTGCAATAGAGTCGCAGGAAAAAATTATATGACCTATAAAACTATCTTTGAACTGACTGGAGCATGGTCCTTTATTCTTCTTTTTTTTGGAATCATTCTTTTAAATCAAACTCCAGGTACCTCACTGGAATGAACATAAAAACAATGGCTTGTTCTCGGCTTTGCTGGGAGAACCCAACACTTAGCATTGCTAAAGTCAAATAAAAGGAGACTGTAGATTCGAATGCTCAGTGCTAAGGAGTCTTGACATACATAACACATGCTTTGGATTTGATTAAGGCTTTCAGCACTGAGGGTAAGAGTAACAAAATGGCTAAGAATACAATGCATAGAGTAGAAGTGTAGAGATGCCATGGAAAGTTATGGAGGCATCAAAGTGAGTTCTCCCACCCCAAGTGACCTTCAGTGAGGACTACAGAATACCAAACAAAGCATAAGGAGCTCCCAACGCACTTCACGCTTGGCTTCACGCAAAGCTTCAGATGCAGAAGGAAATGGTAGGTATGTCACAGAGATATCTTGTCAGTATGCTAAATGCTGGGAGATAATATCCTGCTTCTGGGCTTTTATCACCAGAAGAGTGTATATGAGAGGCTTCCCTGCCCTTACAACCCTTTCCTGTCTAATCAGGAAAACATGCATAGCCATACGCCTCCTTCATGTAACAAACAGTGGCCAAAGATGGGAAAATCCCACATAGACATTTGGGAAACTGCAAGATGCTGCACAATTGTGTGTTGGTTTCATGGTGAAGAAACAAATGGAAAATACAAGCTGGTGGGAACGTATGTGTATGAAGAGAAAAGCGATGGGCTGACTAGCTATGAAGATTAGTTTGTGATGTTACCGAGTGCGTGTCCCTGGGACAGTGTTCCACTCACTGAAGCCTGCATCAGAAAAGAAGGTGTAGGGTCTCTTTAAGATAATGACTTGCAAAGTTATTTTAGGGACCAGAGAGATGGCTTAGCAGATAAAATGTTTGTTGTACAAGCCTGGCAACTGAGTTCAATCCCCCAAAACCCACAGTAGGAGAGAACTTATGCCCCAAAAATTGTCTTCCGACCTCCACTGACTCACTCTGTCTCTCTCTCTCTCTCTCTCTCTCTCTCTCTCTCTCTCTCTCTCTCTCTCTCTCTCTCTCACACACACACACACACACACACACACACCATACAAACAACAGTTATAATAAATAATTTAAAAGAAGAAAACTTATTCTAAACTTATTTATTTAAAAAGTTACTGTATATATTTACTGAGCGTGGTAACACAATGATGACATACAAGTATTATTATGCAAATATTTTACTGTAGCCGAGTCCTTTGAACTGCAAAAGGCATTATATAGTCACAAATAAGTAATTTTGTAGCCAATAATGGCCTTCTTAGTGAAGGGAAGAGGTTTTTACTTCAATTTAGCATTTATTCATATTGGCAGGCTGCTCAAGCCTTATCATCCTGTCCTTGGAGTTAATATGCTTAGTATTATATTTGTTTACAACACATGCTTTACTCAGAAGAGCAATGATCTATTTTTATAGTGCTTTGCACAACTTACATCTTTAGGAGGCTATAAATAATGCCTGCTAAGACACCGGAAGACATCTTCCTACTGAAGGTGAGGGAGGGATATTATTTTCAGAGGCGTGGATTCCTGCATATTATGTGGTCAAAGGTTATTTTCAGAAATATCTACATGTGTTTATCTCATTCATTGGAATTTTTAATGGCTCATGCACTGTCTTAGGGTTTTGATTGCTGTGAAAAGACACCATGACCACAGCAAATCTTGTAAAGGAAAACATTCTATCTGGGCTAGCTTACAGTTCCAGAGGTTTAGTCCTTTGTCTTCACGGCAGCATGCAGGCAGACATGCTGCTGGAGAAGGAACCAAGAGCTCTACATCTTGATCTTCAGGCAACAGGAAGTGCATGGGTGCCACACTGGTCATAGCCTGAGCATGTTAAGACGTCAGAGCTTGTCCCCACAGTGACATCCTTCCTTCAACGAGGCCATACCTATTCCCACAAGTCACACCTCCTAATAGTGCCACTCCCTATGGGGGTCATTTTCTTTCAAACCACCACACATGGTTATCAAAAGGGAAATAGGTCAGTGGCATCTGTTTGAATTAACACCATCTGGAGCTTTCTAATAGTAAATATGCTTCTTATTCTAGGTATTAAAGTTTGAGCCTGGTCATCTCAAGAGAAGGGGCAAAGCTAAGAATATGGCTCTCGTAGATATCCAGTTGGATCACCATGAGCGGTGTGACTGTATCTGCAGCTCAAGACCACCTCGATAAGACACTGTGCATATCTGTACGTGAAGCATGAAAAGATCTTTAGATTAAGACATTGTAAGGGACCACTGTCCTACCTTAAGCAACCAAAATTGCTTCTCAGCTACAACGCAGTGAACACAGGTGGATATCTCGCTTTGTTAGTGCCATTGCAAGAAGAAGCATGTATCATCAACTTCTTTATCCATAAATATAAAAATTCATTTATTAACAGTATGTGAAGATATGTATGCCTACCCAGACACATGTCTATCTCTATGTGTGTAAATACATGAAATGCTTTATTCAGTGTATTTGCTGAGGTCGACCAGAGACAAATGATCAGATTATCGCTCAATAATTTTGCTATAATAAGGAATGTGTCAAACATAATAAAACCTCTCTAAGAAATTCAAAATATAAATTTCTTATGAAATGTTTCAGAAAGCATATCGGGTCTTGCTTTCTTAAAGAAGGCATTTGTCCGTTAAACAAAAGATGCAAGTCTCTTATGTTTATATCTTAATTATATGGAAGAAAATAAAGTTTTCAGGGATAAAAGCAAGTATTTAAATATTTTCTACATGAGATTCACTATACACCTACAAATGTGGACAGTAATTATCTGTCTCCAAAACAACACCAAAGTAATACTCAGTTATCAAACCCAAGTCCCCTTTTATGTATTTTGTCAAGCAAGCTAACTCATTGAGCACCCTGCTTAATGAATTGCTCAGGGAGTGTTGTGATAATCTTTCAAGAGGCAAGCAGTAAGTTGCAACAGAATATTCTTTTTTTTTTTTCTCTTTCTAAAATCTGCAGAAAAGCAAATATTCTCAGGAATAGCATGCCATTAGTCTTCAGCCTTTCAACATGTCATTCACAGAAAGATGTGAGAGTTAGAAAGGCAGAAATAAGCAAATATTGACATAACTGGGAATTAAATAACCTTTTGACAAGGTCCACATTCAAAAATGGGTCTAAGTTCTCCAAACCCTTCCAATCATTTTCTATGTCTTACTTTTGTGTTGCTGTCTTTTCAATATGTACACATGGACTTATCATGATGTATACATATATATATATATATATATATATATGTATATCAGACAAGCCATCATGAAATATTTGTAACCTGAAAGTTTTCACATGTTAACAAAATAACTAACTTTTATTGATATAAATTCATAATTCTATACTTAAGATTTTCAATATGTATTCTGAATCAGTGGAAATTAGATGTGAGGTTTACTACCTTTTCCGTCTTCAGACCTTATTCTATAGAGCCAGACATGAGTTGTGGAGGCAACATTTGGTCCTGTTCTCCCACCAGAAAACTGTTTGCATTGGTTATTAGGAATGAGAGCCAGTTTTCCTCAGTGGCTTCTCTTTATCTATGTTACAGAGACTTAGTTCAGAAATGGGAAGTCATACATCACTCTCCAAAGCAAGATGCTTAAGAGGGAACACTGAAGTTAGGTTGCCTGGGCTGCTCCCAGGGAACTACATCCTTCTTCCTGCCTTGCTAGTAGAAAAGAGAAGTGATTTCTTCTGTGATTCCGTACTGTCCTGAACACAGGCCAGCTCAATACAAGATCAGTGCCCAGGCTGTGTTAGTGCAGTGTCACGATTGGCTCAAACACACTTGCATTGCCGAGTACAACGCCCTCCGATGCAAGATCCTGCCGTGCTCAGCAGACCTGCACTTACCGTCGCGTGCCTTCTAAAGGTTCTGTGCAGTTATCTGTCAGAGTTTCTACTCAGTGAGCCTTAGAATGAAATCCTGCGTTGTCCAGTTGTCCAGTTGTTCAGCAATGAGATGTAGGTCAGGCCCGCGGTCAGAAGCCACCTTCCCTCCATGGCCACTTGCAAGCTGTACAGGACACAGCTCACACCACAGATGGGAACATAAAACATAAAGTTCTCTACCCAACTTTCAACAGACCTTCCAGGCTGCAGTGACCAGTTGAAGCCTTGCTATCCCTTTGTTTACCAGCCGTACTGTGAACAGATGTGTGCATGAGGCGGCCTTCCCTTTCTTGAATGTTTTGGTAAACCATCTCCCTTGCTTATCTCTTATCCATCCCATATCCAGCATGTAGCAAATAAATCTGTTTCATTGCCATCAAATGACTAAGAATAAAAACAAACCACTGTACAAATTACATTTCACAGCAAACTAATAAATACGTGGTTCTGCATGGCTCACTCACCTGGAACAATGCCACTCATTCAACGTGTTCTCATAGGGCAGAACAGTTTCCTAAGCGGAGGGGTCTGATGATTTTTTTTTGTCATATCAGTAACATGCAGCTTTTTCCTCGTACAGCATTTTCTGTAGAAATTTAATATGGCTCTTACCTTCATAAAAAAATAAATACTGCTTTTGAACAAAACTACTCCATTATTTGGTACTGAATTGCAATTGTAAAAGGTGTGCATTACCAAGGTGCTTTCACACATGTGTCTAACCGGAATAACAGGAAGGGTGATGGCTGAAAAGACAGAGCATCTGCTCCTGGCCCACAGGCCTCCATGCTCCCTGCCTCACACCTGAGGCGGGGGTTGCTCTCTCTGGGATGGTGGTCTTGGCTTCATCTGTGTTTCTTCCCCCAGTCAGTCTTCCAGTGAGTTCTCTGATGTTCCCTCTATGAAAGTTCCCTTCCTCTCGCTTCCTGAACGTCTCTCCCCGGAAGGAGCATGGACCATGACAACAAAGAGCGGTCTGTACAATCAAGAACACTTGCTTACAGGTTGGTCTTTATTGGTATCCTGCTAGAGACAGACTAGCAGCTGCAAAGAGCTGAGGGAAACGTTTCTTCTAGCTTGATGGCTGTAGAAGTTTAGAGAAGAAACACATGTGTTACATGGTAAAAAAAAATCAAGTTTATCAGCAGAAATATGATCCAGTGTGTTAGCCACGGGGTTGGAATGGGGAAGATTAAAGAGCACTCTGTGTGGTCTTAAATTCAGACAGCCTCGTGGAAATTATATGGAAAGCATTTAAAGTAAATGCATTAAGACTTTAATTTCATCTCCTAAAATGTAAACGTGTACAGTTGTTCTCCACTATTAACTCCACAGATATCCAAATGGCTCATATTTTCACAGGCTCTTCTGGTATAGGGTTAAATTAAAACTCACAGAGGAGTATTTTTTTCTGAATTCCTATAAAATATATTTTTGTTTATTGGCATCCCTATCATATATGCTGGAAAATAGAGTATTTATAATGCATTTCTTTTATTGACTTTTATTCAAATTCTGTTGCTGTTGCTTTTAAAGATCAAGTTGAACACTACAGAGATCTAAAAACATAAAAGAGCCCCCTGAGATGTGTCAAATAAAACAGACATTGTAGATAGGGTAAGCAGCAAGTTGTGTTTCTTGCTGTTGAAGTTACATTTTCTTTTATTGAAAATAGACTTTTTTCATTCAATATATTCTGATTACAGTTTCCCGTCCCTCTATTCCTCCCTGTTCTTCCACACACACACCCATCCAGATCCACACCGTCTCTGTGTCTCCTTAGAAAATAAACAGCATCTAGGGGAAAATAAGAAAGGTAAGTAAAATGCAATAAGATAAAACAAAAACAAACAAGTCAGAATAATACAAAACAAAAAGAAGGAAAATAGTCAAAAAAGCTCAAGAAATATATATAGACAGAGTCACATACACTCACACACATAGGAATCCCATAAAAACGCAAAACTGGAAGCCGTCGCAAAACTGGAAGCCGTAATGTATACACAAAGGGCTTTTACAGTTTTAAAAGGAATGTCTTGACTCAACATTAGATAAAGAGTCTTCAGAGATACCTTTGACTTCGTTTTTTATTGACCGTCTCCTGCTGGACATGGCCTACCCTTAGGAGTAGTTCATTTCCCCTGTGAGACTCCCTTGGGGAAAACTAATTTTATTTTTGCAAGTGCTTATCAACTAGAGGTAGCCTCTGGGTTGAGAATGGGGGCATGTGTCCACCTTTCTTCTCAGCACTGGGACCCCATCTCGTACAGGCCCTGTGTGTGCGGCTGCGCACGCAGTCTCTGGTGGTTTTTATGCACGCCTGTCATGCTGTGTTTAGAAGGCCTTGTGTCCTCCATCCTCTTCATCTCTTGCGCTCTTTTTTTATTTTTAAATTTAAATTTAAATTAGAAACAAGGTTGCTTCACATGTCAATTCCAGGTCCCTCTCCCTTTCCCTCCCCTCCTCCCACGCCCTCCCACCAACCCCTCCTCTTCTGCAGGGTTCCCCCAAGCTGAGAAAGGAAATATTTGGTGGGAACATCCCATTTAGTGTTGAGTGTGACAAGGTCCCTTGAGTTATACACATCATCTGTCTGTAGATCTCTGTGTCTGCTGCTGGAGAAAGCTTCTATGATGCTGGCTGGGCACGCACTAATCTTGAGTATACAGAACATTGCTAGGGCTGATTTGAGTGCTGTATTCCTTTAGCAGATGACAGTATTTGGTTTTGCCTTAGTTCCCTTTGATGTCTTGGCTCGGATTCTTGGCCACACAAGGAATACTAGGTGTGGGTTCCATCTCATGGTGCAGGCCTCAGATCCAGTCATATGTGGATTTATGATTCCCACAAGCTTTGCGTCACAATTACACTAGCACATCTGGCATTCAAACTGCCATTGTAGATTCAAGTCATCAATGGTTTGTAGCTGGCCTGATGTTTAACTTTCTCCTCTGGTGGCAAGCAGTGTACCTTCCAGTACCATGAACACTAGCCAGTGTGGGTGAAGGATCTAAGATAGGCAGCAGGCTTGATTTGGTGAAGACACTTGACTTCACTATATTTGATAAGTTGTGCGAGTGTTCTCTTCAGCAATAGGTAGGGCCTTCACCATCACTATGTAAAGAGCAACAAATAGCATTAGCAACAGTTTGGATAGTTTGGGGGTTCCCATGGGAATCCATTGTCTAACAACTTGATTAAATGTAACCCGTTCCTGGTACAAGAAACCTCATTTGGTGAAGAAAGATGTCCAGTTAGGCCACTGTCTCCCCCACTATTTGGAGATTTCATTTAGGACACCTTCATAAAAGTGTGGTTTAGGAAGCTTTACCGTAGCAGATCTCCTTTACAACTCCTTTATGACACTTAGTTTTAGCTGCCCCTACCCATATCCCTGCCCTCATCCCCATCACTGTCTTTCCTTCCCCTCCCCACTTTACCCTTCCATTCCAGACACACCCCAATGCAATCCACCCACAGCTATCTATGCTACTTCCCCTTCCTCAGGAGAGATCCGTCACTCATGCCAGTCCTCACTCAGTACCTTACCCTTTGTGATTATACCGATTGTAGCTTGTTATCAATGACTGAACAATTAACGTCCACAGGTAATTGAACACATGGCATACTTTTCTTTCTGAATCTGGCTTACCTCATTCAGAATATTATTTCTAGTTCCATCCATTTACCTGTGAGTTTCATGATTTTATTTTTTATTTAATTGCTGAGTAAACTCCATTGTGTGCATGTACCACATTTGCTTTATCCATTCATCTGTTGATGGGCATCTAGGTTGTTTCCAGTTTTCTGGCTATTATTAACAGAGCACCAATGAGCATGGCTGAGCCAGGAGTTCTGAATTGGGATGAAAGGTCCTTTAGGTACAGACCCAAGAGCAGTATAGCAGGATCTTCAGGTAGACCAATTCCCAGCATCCTGAGGAACAGAAGCCCTGATTTCCATAGTGGCTATACAAGTTTGCATTCCGATCATCAGTGGATGGGTGCTCCCTTTATTCCACATCCTCCCCAGCATGGGCTATTCTGACAGACGTAAGATAAAATCCTTCAAAGTAGTTTGAGTATGCATTTACATGCTGGCTGGAGATAATGAACATCTCTTTAAGTGCTTTTCAGTCATTTAAGTTTTCTCTTTTAAGAATTATCTGTTTATGTCTGTACCCATTTTTTATTGAGTTGTGTTGTTTCTTGACGTTCAGTTATTTGGGTTCTTTATATATTTACAGATCAGCCCTCTACTGGATATGTGGCTGATAAAATTTTTTTCCATTCTATCACTATGTCCAATTGATAGTGTCCTTTGCTGTACAAAAAATTTCAATTTCATGAGATCTCATTTATTAATTATTGTTCTCAGTGCTTGCACTAGCAAGTGTTCTGTTCAGAAAGTATTTTCCTGTGCCAATAAGTTCAAGTCTATTCTCTACTTTCTCTTTTATCAGGTTCAGTTTATCTGACTTAATGTTGAGGTCATGAATTCATTTGGAACTGAGTTTTGTGCATGGTGATAAGTACGGATATATTTGCATTCTTCTACATGTAGTCATCCAGTTTGGCCAGCAGCATTTGTTGAAGATGCCGTCTTTTTTCCTGAGTGTATTTCTGGCTTCATCAAAATTCAGGTGTCTACAGGTGTGTGGATTTATATCTGTGACTTCATTCAGTTCCATTGATCACAGTGTTTATTATGCCAATACCATCTATGTTTCTCATTATATTAAGGTGTGTTATGGTGTTACTTCTAGCAGTTCTTTTATTATTCAGGAGTGTTTTAGCTATCCTGGGTTTTTTGTGTTCCCATATGAAAATAAAGATACTTTGACTTTTTCTTTCTAATTGTATGCCCTTGATCTCCTTCAGTTGTCTTATTGCTCTAATTAAGACTTCTAGTATAATACTGGATAGAAATGGAGATAGTAGACAATCTTGTCTTGTTCCTGGCTTTAGTGAGATTGCTTTGAGTTTCTCTACTTTTGAGTTGATGTTGGCTCTTGCTATGAATTATCTTTACTATATTTATTATATTGGGTATGTTCCTTTTATCTTTCATGTCTCTAGAACTTTTATCATGAAGAGGTGCTGGATTTTGTCAAAGGCCTTTGCTGCATCTAGTGAGATGATCATGTGATTTTTTTCTTTGAGTTTATTTATGTGGTGGATTACATTTATCAAATTACATGGCTGAAACATTCCTGCATCTTTGGTGGGTGATCTTATTGATGTGTTTTTGTTTTTGGTTTACAAGTATTTTTGAATCTGTATTCATAAGGGAAGCTGGTCTGTAATTTTCTTTCTTTGTTGTATCTTTGCGTAGTTTAAGTACCAAGATAATTGCAGCCTCTTAAAAAGAATTAGGCAATGTTCCTCTGTTTCTATGTTGTATAATAATTTTAAGAGTATTGGCATTAACTCTTTGAAAATCTGGTAGAATTCTGCACTAACATGGTCATTTTGGGTTGGTTAACTTTTTATTACTGCTTCTGTTTGTTTAGAAGTTATAGATGTGTTTAAATTTGGTAGAGTACAGGTTTTTTGAATATGATCTTATATTTCTCTGCATTTCCTCAGTGTCTGTTTGTCCCCCCTTTTCATCTCTTATTAATTTGAATCTTCTCTACACCTTTTAG